TCTTTTAGATGTTGGTTGTTCTCTTATACTTGATTGAAATACTGCAATGGATCAGAAGTTCTTAAAAGCAGGACTGAAAGACAGATATGGGCTATATAATTGTATGAACCCCATTTCCTTAGGGAACAAGTGTAAAAACAGGAATGGCACAAGAATAAATATGGACAGATTGCTGATAAAATTAAAAAGTCAGGGCAAGCATCAGCAGGCCTCTATCAATCAGAGAATTAAAGTTTCAACTGGTATATTAGATTCTAAGGGTTTAACTAGTTTTAAGATTGCAATTAGGTTGTGAAATGGATTATTTGACATGATCGCCTTCAGGAAGTCCTTTCCTGGACTATCAGAAACAAGGGTATGCTAATATGATGGCTCTACTCTAATGAGCACAAGATAACATTTTTAAAATTTGCAAAAGGACCTGCGGATCAGTTTAAGAATAAATTCTAGAAAACACATTTACTCCATAGTATATCATACTTGTTGATCCTTGTCACTGGAAATCTGTTTTGCCAAGTATCAAGCAGAATCTGTAACTACAGGTTGCTCTGTTTTAGTTTCTCTGTGGAAAAGTTAGGTGCTGGACTGCAGTGGTGCAGAACCTCAACAACACAGAGAAAAGTAATGGCAACTTGCCCAGAGCTCAAGTGCTGCACCTGATTTCCATATAAATATACATAGAATTGTATAAAATATTGCATCAGAATTCTTTTTATGTTATTTATTTATATATATATTTATTTATAGGACACTGCAAATGTAGGCAGCATTTTACAGAGCAATCCAAAATTGCTCTGTAATTTTAATCAACTAGTTAACAACACAATTTGCTTCTGCCAGATAAAGTTAGGACCTATCAGCCATGTCATAAACTGCTATCAAGTCTCTGAGCTTCTTTTTCAGCTCAGGCAGGAGCAGCAATTCTACTCTTTGGAGTAGAAAGACTGGAGAATGGTGCTTGGTGGCACTGTAAACTTTTGCACACTGGCTGCGGTGGAGAATGGTGCTTGGTGGCACTGTAAACTTTTGCACACTGGCTGCGGTGTCAGCATATGAACAGTGTAGGGTTTCCAACAGAGTTGGTAGAAAATGGGAAAATTTTTCACCAGGGAGATTTCCTGGTAATGAATTTTCAGCAGAATCCAGTAGCTCTGTAGTGTGTGGTGACTTCAATGAAACTTGATGAATTTATAAACTGGTCTGAACTTTTCATTTTGCTTCTGGCACTACTGTCAGTCCCTATTATGAAATGCAGCTTTATATGACATAAACTTTGATTAGACTTTGATTAAACTTTGATAGAGACTTTGATTAATAGCAGTGTATGGAGAAGCCAGAACAAACCTCCCAGGGGCTGATAAAGAAAAAATTGTCAATGCAGTAAACAGGAATGGAGAAGCTAATCTATAATTTAAGCAATGTGTTAATTAATACAGTATAAATAATGAAATCTGTGGCAAATCCACAGAGTAATCTTGTTTATGTGCTCATCTAGGTGTGGTTAGAACACCATACCCTTGAATAGGAAAGTAGTATCTATATGATAACTGATGGGAATCTCCTTCCAATCAGATGGTCAGCAGGATTTTTTGCTTGCTGGTGTTTATGCATTTTCAGATGAGAAGCCTTTCTAAAATCAAAAGGCATAGTGGGAAAACCGAAATAAGCAAAAGAAGAGTGCCAAGAGATGACTGCTAGTCTGTGAGCAGGACTCCAAGATGAGGTGCCATGTAAAGGGACAACCCTGACCTTCCTCACCTGCCCTGATGCTGTGTCCTGCCTTGCCTCCCCCGGGCTGGCATTATCCATGGTGTGATATCCCCCTGTCCCAGGGGGCTCAACTGCCCTCAGAGCAAAGGCAGGAGAAACACTTCTGTGAGGAAAAGAGGAAGGAACTGCATATTTCACGTCACATCAGTCAGCCTTCTAGAGACCAGATATTTCTCTAAACTTAAAGGAATCACCAGAGTGGAAAAGGTGGAAGTAGTAGGGGCATTAGCACAGCTCCAGTTTAGGCCACTGTCAAACTGAAGTTTGTCTTCTTGAGAAACTAGCACCTAGACATCATCAGCTTTCCCCACAATTTCATTCCTTCCATTCAGGTGAGACCTGGCTGTTGCTTGTAGGCAGAATAAGAGTAAACATTGCCTCTAAATGTGCCAGTCTTGATGAAATCTTAAGAAATAATCAGATAATTTAGCTATTGTTTTATTATTGCTGGGATATCTCTGGATGGGGATGCAGGAGAGAGATGACACTCCATAAGGGCTGTTGATGGCCTCCCAGACAAGCCCTGCTCTGCTGCAGGGTCATGATACAGGGGTGCACAATCCTTGCTAGAAGCTTACACTGCAGCTTTAAAACTCATGCTTGGGGAGCCCAGGCAAGTGCTAGAGGATCCTGTGGTGCATCCTCAGGGCTTTTGAAGTGGTCCTTACTGCAGTCCATGGGAGATTGAGAGGGAAGGTTTCATAGATACTCACAATATTTTTCATTATCATCATAAAGATGCATGTACAGGTCTGCACATATTTCTTACCTTGACTAGCAGGCCTTAGTTACTGAAATAAGAAATAGTCTGAATCAAGCCAACACCCATTACAAACTTAGAATCTTCAGTAACCCTGAATTGTCTTGTTGGGAATGATGCTATTTTGTTGCATTTGGAATTGAAAATATAGAATTTCATAAATAAAAATACTTAAGTTTTTCTTGCAGTAATTAATGGATTAATATTAGAAGTACCCTGCTTACAGACCATTAATTTCCCATGCCAAATCTGTGGTTTGTGAAAGTCATAAACTTTTAAGAACACGAACCAGTGATGTCACTTAACAACTCTCATAATAACTTTGTCCTGTGGGATAGAGAACTAAAAGAACAATAATAAAAAATCAGTAGCATTCCCTAAACAAAGAAAATCAATCAAACACCCTGTTTATTGATCCATGTTGGAAATCTCTCTAACAGGCTCAGTGAATAGACAGCTAGCTGAAGCAGATACCTTATGGCTGGGCCTTTTAAAACACCCATTTGTAGCATGATACCACTGAGAAAAATGATGCTCTTCTTATGCAGCCTCACAGCTAATCCACCATCCTATGGTGTAATGCATTATCCTTATAATTTCTTTAAGAAAGGAGAGAAAGCACAGAAAGGATTTTCACAGCTGGTAAGATGCTAAAACATATTAGCTTTTATCATGAGAGTATAATGGTACTACTGTTTAAGAAAATATTTTTTTTTTTTTTTTTAATGGATCCTTTTGTCTGTGGAAGTTGGAAGAAAATGGGGGAAGAGAACATAAGTAAATACCTTCAATCTTCTCAGCTGAAATCCATAATTATAGTTTTATTACTTTCTGGTTTCTGATACATAGGTTTCACAGAGCTGATTGCAGGCTGCAGGAACCATTTTTTGCCTTTTAAATTGAAGCATTTCAGGTCTTCTCTAATTAACAACCACTTGCAGAGTGCATCACAGGCTTAGTGCCTACTCACCAGGCACATCTCTCAGACACAGATCTGTTATTGCACTAAAATGAGGACGGAGAGGCATTCTGTATTAATAGTTTATGAAGATAGCTAAATTACACCTGACCATACAGTATTCTATGTTCTTCTCCTAGGTCTTTCTTTGGACTCACTTTTTCTGGGGAGACAAATCTTGAAGTGATAATACCTTTTCCTCAATGATAACAGTTTGAATTTGTTGGTGTGGGGCTTCATCATTTTGAGAAATAGCAGTAGGAAGAGTATAGGCAAACTTCCTTGTGCAGAGCATCAACCAATTAAAATAGAAACTTTGGTTTTCTTTTCTCATTAAGGTGGCAGAGTTTTAGATCTAATGAAACAAAAACACAGGAAGAAGTACAGCTCTTTATTACGTGACAGTTCAGAGCTCTGGAAAAGTAAAGCCTCCGATTTATCCACAGGAAACTGTCCAGGATCAAGATTTTCACACAGTTACCCACTTTGTGCCCAGTACTTTTTTACCCAATCAGACTCCCTGCATGTTACTCATAACAAGTTAACCAGACCCACCATTTTCTCAAGGTGCTGTCACATTTTCTTCTTGTACAGTGATAAGCACATGTGCTATGTGCTTACTCTAACACCAAATGACAAAAACTCTGCATTTCCTTCCTCTCTCCCTCTGATTCTCCCCTCCTTCCTTCACTCCTCACTGCCTTGTGGTATTTTTGTTGCCTTCTGGATCCCAAATTCTCATTTACTTTGTTCCCTTGCTAAACAATTCCATTCAGGTGCAGCCATAAGGCAAAACAATGGCACAATACAAAAGGACAGCTGTCAGGTAGCCAAAAGCAGCATGAGAAAAGCAATAGTGAATGATAATATCTGTATCACTGACTGACAAAGCCATATAGCAGGACATATGCATTCATTTACCATTTTAAAGAAGTAACCACACTTGCTGAAAGCATCAACCTTAGAAGGAAACCCAGAGTGTGAAGGAATGAGTACTGCTTGAGAGATGATTTGTATTATTTCAGATAACCATGGCTGAGAACTGATGGGCATAAACATTGGCATTTTCTTCACAGAATTGCTGCTATCTCCTGTGCCATCTCCTGTTTTGCATAATGCCATATGAACCTCATTACTGGAGTTTGCAGGGTTTTGAACATTCACAGAAAAAAGCATAGGGAGAAAAGTAATAGTTTGATTGATGCAATTTTCACATTGGCCCAGTGGATAATCAGAAGAGCTCTTCTATTACAAGGACATGCAAAAAGCAAAACATTATAAATCCTACCCACAGCCCAGGGCCATTAAAAAAAAGGCTAAAAAAAACCTCTAATAACGCAGACTTTCTTGACAGAGTTTTTGTTAACAGCTAAATAGCAGCTAGCAGTCAAGATCTGCTCTTATGCCAAGACTACAAGGCACACAGCAGTCTGAACAAAGGATAAATATGTATGTGTGGAAACTACACCTTCCAAAAATTATAAAAAATAAATAGATTAAATGAACCCCTACCTTGGAGAGCTTGGAGTGTACGAGTCTGTACAACAATACAGAGTTGCAGGACCAGCTGTGGCGCACTTTCCAGAAAGGTGGCTAGCAAATGCAGCATACTCACATCTGCATACTCATACACCATTTTCCAATAAAACCGCCATCTGTCATTCTCTCCACTCTGTCGACTCCGGATACCCAAGTACATCGTGTGAAAATACCTGGAAATGAAAGAGAGTGGTTACAGAAGGACAGAATGATATTTTACAGGTTATACTTCTGCTTGCAAATAACATCTTGTTCAATGTACTTCAAAATAATGAACATTATTTTAAAAGATTGCTGTATTTCAATTTCTAATAGTTGATGTGATAAGAGTAAACTAAACTGAAGACAAGACTAAACTTTATAAGGTCATTAAAAAAGCTTAGCATTTTCTTTTTGTTAAATAGTATTTCTTTCAAGGACACAGTTTTCTAATTTGAAATATACATGTGATATCTCTATTATATGGTCCTCCTCAGCGGTTTTGCAAATAATGAGAGGAACAAAACTGAGTCTTTAATGAGAACCTGCAAAGAACTAATCTCCCTCTGCATGGCTCAATTAGGGCTTGGAGGACCACCTGCACTGCAAGTCTGAGGTGGTCTTAGCCTGTAGTTATGCTATGGCTTAGCTTATTGTCCTGCTTTTCCACCCATCTGCACTGAGTATTTCAGATACTGCCAAATATACAGAGTTTTTTTTCCTCATAGTTTGATTATTTTAGTTGGAGAGAAGATGTAGCTGTGAGTTCCTATTTTAGGAGGAGTGGAGATGTGGCTGTGGGTTCCCTTGGAGATCAGAAATGACTCACTACGGTATCTCCCATGCAGCAGCAGCAGTGGGAAGCAGCAGGAGCCAGGAACCCAACAGGACAGCTGCTGCTACTCCCTGTAGTAACTGGCAGGTAAAGGGAGCAATAGGCAAAGCCCTGCAGCTCTCCTGGCCTGTGCAATCAGCAGGAAAAACACCTGGCAAGCAGCATGTTAAGTAGATTTTGGTGGGTGCAGGAGTAATGAGTGGTTTTAGGAAGCAAGGGATGTCTTCTGAAGGCTGGTACCCAGATGCTGCGATGCCTGCGGTGACCCTTGGAGAGCATGCAGCAGCCTCCCATGACACACCTGAGTCACAGCACAGTGATCACTCTGGGTGGCCTTTGATCTGCTCTGTTATTCTGATCTGATCTCAGTTATTCCGTGTCAGAAAAGCTCCCACATTGTTCCTACAATTTTAGTTCCAAACTAATTAAGGCTGGCTGAAAAAAATCCCCAGTCTCACTTATTGAAAATTTTTGAAGATTAAGGTATCATCTTACATCAGGGTGCCTTGTGTCCTGCAGTAATAGCCCAGTGGGCTACTAGCTGATGTGGATCTTTGTTTGTCTTTTGCTTGAGGTAACTTTCATATCCTGTTCCTGACAGCATTTTCTTATGGTATTTTTAATATGTTTTCACAGCAATTTTGTAAAGTTTAGTAAATTTTAACCACTTTCAATATGAATTGTTTTAATTAGTTAAGATAAAGTAATTCAGGATTTTAAAGAGAAGACTTTTGGTTTCTGACCGGCAAAGAGCCCAAGACTTGGTTGCTATCTTGAAGAATGACCAAATGCATCCTTGTACCAATGCACACTCTGCTGCAGAGCAGCAGTTTTTATTCAGGAATATTCACCAGACAAAACCAGGGACTAGCACCGAGAAACAGCTGAGAGGACAGATCTGAGCCTGCAGCATTTCTCTTGACAATGCACATCACAGCAATTTAAAAGGAAAACACATTAAACTCACATTTAAATTAAAATCACACCAGGTGGCTTTGAATTTTATCAAAGTCCCATGTGCGAGTGAAGCAGCAATGAACTGCTCAGAGACTGAGACCACAGAGGTACAGTAAACAAGACACCAACTGTAACTCTCATGCAAAACACTGAGCAGGTCTAGATGGGTCAGAGTTTGATGGGATAACTGAGGCTCTCTGGTGTCTTTGGGGTTAGGTAAAGTGAAATGGCCTGCTGCCCAGATCTGAAAGCCACTGATCTGGAAAAGCATCTTTTGCTGCACAATTCTGTTAATGGGGTCCATTGGACCTCAGTCACAATCCATTTGATTGTTCCTAGACCTCTCATTAAAGTCCTGCAGCACAAAAGGGACAGGTAAGGCTTCTATTTCCTTCTGCAGTTTATTGTTTGGGTGGAGTTTGTTCGTCCTGCCCAACGGGCACACCTTGGAATACTGCACAGAGTGGGAGCAGACAGCACCTTCAGCATCATTCTTTTAAGATATCACTAACCCTTGCTAAAAATTCCTAAAGGAGCTGTGGCTGCTGAAAGTGGTGGGCTGCTGAAAGTTGTGCCAGGAGGCTGCTGAAAGTTGTGCCAGGAGGCTCTAGCTGTGCCAGTGGAGCCATCTGCAACTTCAGTTCTACAGCATTTGTACAAAAAATACTTTTCCCTTTACAAAAATGACATACTGTGGCAGGTGAGGGCCCCTAGGGTTCTTTACCTGCTCTTCTGAGTGGCTGTGCATGGCAAATATGTTGTGATTAATGAAGCCATATGGAAATATTTCCTCTCCCATTGCACTTTATTGTGAAACACTGGCAGTGAGTTATTGGGGGCTGGGGAATCACTGCTCTTTGTCTACTTAGCTCTCTGCAATTTAAACTCAAGACTAGAGGAGGAAGATACTTTCTGTATTTACACACTGGGGTCCAAATTTCAGCCTAGGGTGGTATTTTTTTTCTGTCCTTTCAATTTTGGCCAAATTAATTGCAGGCTGAAATGAACATTTACACACATAATTACTATCACTGATTTATAGGCACAATCAGGTGGTTAGACAGCTAAATATTCTGATTTGCATCCACAATTAATTGCACCAGCAATTGATGTTAGGTGTGCAAATTAGCAGTTATTAAAATAAAAAGATGGTCTCATAAAATGATTCATATATCAAAGACACCTTTTTTTTTTCTGTGAAATTTAGAAGAAAAAAAGAATGGGAGAAAGTGCTTTGTTGTAGTGGCTTCCAAATATAGCTGAACACTGCAGTAATGACACATTCCATTTTATATATATATATATATGCATTATGTAATTCCACTTCAGACACCCTCACTGGAGGCCTATTGTCAGCAAATGCCATACAGACACAGTCAGAGGTAGTTCCTGATCTAAAGGGCTTTTGTATTTTGGTGTTCTGGTATTGTTTTGGTGGAAATTCACATTTTTATGTGAGTCCAGATTGTGACTCTTATATACAGTTATTCCAGAAAGATAAAGGAAAAAGTAATATAGAGTTCTGCATTGCAAAATGTCCTAGGTAAATTGATGTTAATGTACTTGAAAGACCAGATGTGAATGTTATTTTTTGGCTGTGATTGCATTCAGCCATCTACAGTCTTCTGCTGGTGCTTTACAAATATACAAAAACTGCCTATCCATGTTCCCAAAGAGCATTTAATTGATATGAAAAGAGGTGAAAAAGAGTGAAGAATTGAAAGAGCACCTGACAAAAAAGGGAAATGAAGCAGAAAGGGGAAGTGTGGTAACAATACTGCCATCTAGTAAAGTAGGTACTTTGTCTAATAAATTAAGTTTATCTTAAAGTTTCTTATTTCACTAGAAGAGTAAAACCAAATAAAAACCCACCACTCCACCCACTCTTCAAAAAGACCCTACAATTTCATAGCTCTCTTGTTTGTGGAGAAAAACAGATATAACTGAGTTTCTTCAAGATTTTGCAGTTAGAAGATTATGAAACCTTCCCTGTGAAGTCAGACTGAGAGGGAAGTTCAGCCTGGGGAAGAGAAGGATCCAGGGAGATCTTATTGTGGACTTCCAGTACCTGAAGGAGGCTGAAGGTTATGGCTTCAAACTGAAAGTAGGTTTTAATTAGCGATTAGGAAGAAATTATTCACTGTAAGGGTGATGAGACTATGGAAGAGGCTGCCCAGAGAAGTTGCCAATGCCCCATCCCTGAAACTATTCAAGGCCTGACTGGATGGGGCTTTTAGCAACCTGGTCTAGTGGAAGCTGTCAAGCTGTCCCTGCCCATGGCAGGGAATTGGAACTCTTGGATGATCTTTAAGGTCCCTTCCAAAACTGACACAATGGAGTAAGAAGCACTACATGACTGATAATCAGATGGCAACTTATATATTGTTATTTGAGTCTTAATGTGTTAATCTTTGAAGGAAGTAGAGAATTTTTCAGCATTTAATTTATTTTAATTTATTTTAGTGCATCACACAGCACAGTATAAAGACCACTGATAAAGCATAACTCTGAAGGATATGAATCTGAGACAAGACCACAAGTGACATTCTTTTTCCATTATATTAATGGGGAAAGGCAGTAAAGTAAAAAAAATAACACAGAAAACCAGGCTACTCCTTGTGCTGTCCACAACAGGTGTCCAAGATGCAAGACAAATAGAAATAAAAAATTGCCTACATGTGTATTAGGGAAAAAAATTATTTTGGTTCTAAGGAAAGAGACATTCATTCTGATAAGACAATGACTCTTCCAAAATTATTTCCAAAATCAAGAGCCCTTATTTAGGTCCAGGCTGACACACCAATCTTAAGGATGGTCAGTATAGACTGAGATATCTACATTTGAAATAATTCTGATAACAATTCACTTACATGATTAAAGCATGCACGCTTGTGCATTTAATTGAGATGAGGTAGTGTAATTATATGATAATACCAAATATTTCTAGGAGTACTTTCCATGTTTGAAGTGCTGTACAACCACTACTTGATTAACTAGGATGAATGAAAATAATCTTAGAGTTTGTTCCTCAGGAGTTGGCAGCTGACCAACCTATAGCTTTCTGTGGGAGCAAGGTATAACTCTCAGTCAGCACACTCAAATCCAGCTGATACTTTGGAAGCCCATGACTGGGAGGATGTGCCTTTTTCTTGTGTGAAGAAAATTCAAACTCCTTTCTCCCTTATTCTTTGGAGCTTTCCCCCCAGGTCTTGCTCTAATACAAGGCAGGCAAGGAGGCCCCCAGAAATGTCTACCAAACAGGAGACAATTCCTCAGGGTCATTTATTCTGGAAGAGTGTTTATGTGCCACTGGCACCTGTGCTAAAGATTTCCAACCCGCCTACAATTCATCTACTCTTTTAGAAAACAGCTTTGGTGAATCTCCTGGTATCATTGAAA